GAAAAGAAAATGGAAACTATAGGGATTATAGGGATCATATAGGGTTATATATTGGGATTACATGGAAACTATAGGGGTTATATTGGGATAATGGAAAAAGAAAATGGAAACTACTATATACTGCTTTTGGGTTGAGGGTTTAGAGGTTTAGGGTTTGAGTTCATTTGTACACTCCATTTTGCGTCTGATTAATCCAGGCAGAAGGCATATTTCACGTAGGAGCCATGTATGGCCAGTAGGCACAGAGCTCACAGCTGAGCGGCAGAAACGGGCTTGTACATCCTTGACTCCCACCGCTCACCAAAACTGAACATACCTGCACCGCGCAACCCTTTCGTCAGCCATCACTTGCACAGGATAGGAAATCCCTCACCACAGGAAAAGGCCCTTTACGTCCTTATTCCATGCACTGCCAAGCAGAATCTTTCCGGCGTTTCCTTTATTGCCGAATGTATTGCCGTCCAGAGTGTCACCATCACCCTCCTTGCCCTCCAGAGCGCCACCCTTCGTTTCAGCATCCACTAGGTCCCATCGTCCACTTGACTTGACGGCGCTCCGCACAATCCAAGTATTATTGCTTTGTTACTGTGTTACTACGTTTTACTAGCATTTAACATTACTATTGTTACTAGTATTGCTATTATCATTAATATTGCTAATGGTATGACTACTATTCTTCAATGGAGTGTTTCCACCATGGACTTGCTTCTCTTTACGGAACTGCGAGAGCATCTTCTAATCACATTGTTTGACAACATTAGTGTCAGCGACGTGACCCGCACACCATGTTCAAGGTATTGCTTAAACCCACGGACTTGTACGCCTGCATAGATGCATGGGTCTCTGTAGGTACACCATGGAGATCATCAAAGAGTTCATGAATGTTCAAGGTTTAGGGTCTAGGGTATTCTTTCCCAAACAGAACCTACTGGCGATGAGTCGGTAATGAAGGAATGGATCCCTCTTGTAGCACCTATACAGTCCTTACGAGTAGTCTCCATTCTCTTTGACATTCCTTCAGTCATTCTCCCGTAACAACCAGCAAGTGCCATATGGGGTTCCACGCTAGTTTTATACGCTGGGGAAACGTACCGAGACATTCCTTACGTCATACGAGCAGCTTGCTGATGGTGCTGATGGCCCTGATTACTTCAGTGCTGCAGTCTTTGTCTAGGGTGCCACTCTCCACACAATCTGGGATGCTAGGGTTCTGGGTTGCAGGTTTCCGGGGTGGGGGAATGTGCGTCAACGAGTCTGAGGTGGATCAATATGTTTTGCTGTTCTTCCATGCAGCATCCTCTTTTAAGTTTGATTGAACCATTGATAGGAAGAATCACGATATGGCTCCGGTCCACTATCCGGTCCATGCCATAATCAATCTCGAGTCGCTAGCCTCGAACTAAGTACGCGGAATCAAGTTCAAACCTATCTCTGCATGGTGGTCCCATCATTTGCACATGTAGTATGCGGCATGTAGACATCCATAGTCTAGTGATGGGGAATACAAGCTGTCTGTGACTGTACATTCGTATATATGTACAAACACAACTACACAACTACATATATGTATATATATATACAGATATATATATACAGATATATATATATATATCTGCATGCATATGCACACGCATACACACCCGCATCCTACCTCCTGTGCAGGTGCATCTCTCATGGCAGACTAGGAATGCAAGTTCCTTCGTGTCAGGCAAGTACAGCTCGTGGAGAAAGCGAATGCATCTCATGTTCATCCCAAGGCTCAACACACAGACTCTCGACAGCCCCTCCTGGCAAGGCCCAGCGCTCGCAACAGAGGTGCGGCGGTGGTGGCATTGATAAGAAGCCTCAGATTCTCTCTTCCAGTCCCTGCATTTTTGCACAATAGGGCGACCCAAATATACACACCAATATACTACTATGGGGACCCCCAATTAGGCCAATTTTGAAAATCCTTCCTGCTCTGTTCCTTGGCACACTTATGCATAATGACAACTGCTCTTCGTATGGAGCAAATTTCAGAGAGCCAGGCTTTCCCATGTCCCATGTTTGTCGCTTCAGGGGTTATACGGGGTTATATCGGGGTTTCTTAGGCGGGTATAGGGATTATATGGGGTTATATAGGGCAAATAAAGGTTGTAGAGGGGTTATGTAGAGCTTTACACAAGGGTACATACAGCCACAGGTTCCAACGTCGGCTTTGAGCTGCCGGGGATGTGTGCCCGGATCCTAAGCCCTCAACCCTGAACTATCTTGAAAGCCCGCTATGGCCGCAGCAACGTGAGCGCCGCAATGCCACCCACGTGAAACATGATGCGCGCACCCATCTCCCTGTTCAGATGCGCGTCAAAGGACTGGGGTGTTCAGGTTTGGGGCTCAGGGGCTGGGATGGTGCGGAGGCAGGACTTGGGGCTTGGGAGGTTTTACAATTGCAGGGTTTGGATTGGTGGATCGTGTGATCATCATTATCTGCCTACGCGCGCTGCCGTTGCTCCTGCTGACAGTACTAGGAAATCACTTCTGTTTTTGCTCACCCTATTCTCTGCACTGATTCTAAGGCTCCCGTCCATTCAACCCTGGCTAAATGGCTAAACACTACGTCCAGAAGTGTGATTAAACCCTTAACACCATGCCTGGAGATCAAAGGCTCTTCGTCAATGATGATCGCCAGGGTCAGGCTCACCGCGCCTTGCACATGTACCCATCTGTACATGATAGTTCCATAAATGCGAGACCCCAATATGATCCCACTTTAAAAGGTGTGCTTGCCTTTGTTCAAGTGCCGGTGGAACCCTCAGCCGCACTAATCTAATGTAAGCTGGGGTTGGCGACCGAGCAGAATTCGATTGTGTCCTAGTTCCCGTGAGCGTCCGGTCTGTGAGGCAGGAAAATCTGTGTCCTCAAGCCAAAGTCACGTGCCCAAGTTGCTGTTCTTCCTCGAACCCTGAACAAGCTTCTACGTGAGCATTAAAGTCTCATGGAGCGCAAAAGCGCAAACAACCACTAATCCTTGATGTGTCCGAAGAATCCCGAACCCTTTGATGAGCAAAGGGTTCACCAACGAACCTGATTTTTTTCACGGCCGTAAAGCCTCATATAGGGCATACTGTGAGATGTGGATCTGAACATGGCTAGCATTCAGCATGTTTATCGCGGAACTTCCTACTGCTCTTCTTGCATTGACCCATCGGTAAAGAGGCGTATGAAACTAAGCGCCCTTCGTCACCCGCCCCCATTGACTGACTTATGCAGGTTCATGTCAGGATAACCTGCCAGAAGCCCTAATGTCGGAAGCCTCGTAGTCCGCTCCATATCATTGCCTTTGCCTCCCGCATGTCCACAGGCGATCCCACCTGGACCATGGCTCTTTGCTCTTTACGAAACTTTACGGAGGCTGTATCTGCCTTTAGGTTCTTCAGGGTCTGCTTGGCCTGTAACGCGGAAGTTGCCGCATTGTCTGTATGTGAATTTGACAAACGGGAGTGGAAGGATGCCAGACAAGTACCTGCAAAGTACACAACTTCAGAGCCATGTTCAATACCCGTGGCATGCGGCATTGCAATTGTGAGTTTAATGGAGCCTTAAAATCGTCCCTGTATAACCAATAACTGATTACAGTAGTTTTGATTTCTCCATTCCTTCATACCCCCAGATTCCACTTCATATTTCATGTTACTTTCCTTTTGACTCTCCATTATCATTGGGGCAGCGTACTCCTAATTTGTAGAGGGGATTTATCCCCCTTCATTCCCAGCTAACTAAAGCCTAAACCCGAAACCCTATCAACCCTATCAACCCGAAACGCCTATTGGGAGGCAATATGAGCTATAGTCTAAACTCCTAGTATCCCCTTTAATATCCCCTATAGTAGTCATCTATATAATCCCCCATATAACTCCCTTTAAGGAGTTTAGACTATAGCTCATATAACCCTCGGTATGTTGTGTCTTTTTCAGTCGAGCCTTGTTCAGCGGGATCCATAGGATGCCCAGCCTTAGAACACGCAGCAGCTACCACAACCACCCAGTGCTTCATCCCTTTCCCCTAATATTAAACTCCCCCAACACCCTCCCCCTAATATTTAGTACTCTTACTATGTTGTATATTACAAGATATTGGGAATATTGAATAGGGGGGGGGAGGGGGGGTGGGGGGGTTTAATATTCGGGGGAGGGGATTACTAGGGAATGACCGAATGGATCCCTTTGGCCATCAATATGCGCGCTCAGCAGTCCCTATAATCCCTTCCCACTCCCTACTAATTAAGCACCAGGGAGACAACGCTTGCGCGCGACAAGTGTGTAGTCCCCTTAAGCAGACAGAATATGGCTTTGGGTACATTACAAGAAGATCCCCATATATTCCATATTCTATGTACTTAAGGGAGACCATAAATCAGCAACAGGAACGCGGACAAGAATACTGGTGAAGCATGGCAGTGGATGAGATGACTGGGTGTCAGTAGGGAATTAGGGAGAATGTTATGTACAGCTTACATGGGGATTCTACGGGGTGTAAAGAGGCGCTGTGTAGGGCTCATTCGTTGTTCTCACTGCTCGAACTGGACTACCTAGACATCGACCCTCTATATACCCTCCATACCCATTATTAGGGACCATATACCCGTATTTAAGTATACAAAGAGGATCCTGGTAGAGATTGACTAAACCCTACACACCAAACCGCGTCACACATGCGACTGCGAGCCATCTTTCTAGGGCCAAGCGGCATGAGCGCACGAATAGCCAAGAGCGCTACATAGAGCAGCAGAAGGTAGCCTTTGACACGAACAACAATGGTTTTGCGTTTTCTTTCGGGCGGATTCGGAGAAAGCGCACTCTGTTTGGACAACAACACCCCGAGGCGGGATTTGCTGGTCATCAGGGCCTATTGTCTCCCCATTGAGCTCCAGCCAGTTCTGGCTAACATCACAACTTCTTTTGCAAATCCAAAATGTCCATGTGAGCAGCCGACAGTGAGGAAAGGGGCCCCTCTTTCCAGGACACCTTCCAAGGTTTCATGCGATCCTTTGGTGTTGGGTTTTCTGTCGAGTAACCAAAATCGCTGAAGTGGATGATGCCCAACGAATCCTGGGAGGTACAGGAGCAAGAGTTCCACCAAGGAATCCTGTTGCAGGTCTTTTTCAAGCGGAGCCTGCTTTGTAGCTAGAACCATGATTATGGAGCTGCCGCAGTACATGAAAAGTCCGCCCCGCTGGACATGACGCATGTACCGTGAATCTGTAGAGACCATAACGGGATCGTGAAAGAAATTGCATTGTCCTGGCGAACACATTTTCTCGGACAATAAACTTCCAGTCGCTTTTGAAAATTTACCATCGTTGCTGCTTGCTGCTAGTACTATTCTGGCGCTAGCAACTTCTGGTGAAATCTGCGAAGTTGATGCTACTGCATTTGTTCATCAGATTGCGGTCGGAATTTTGAAGTGCATTGGGACATTCTTCACATTGACCCAGTGTCCAGCACGGTGTCTGCAAAGAGGAGGCCAGCGAGGAAGAAAATGACCTTGGCGCGCGGAGGCGTAGAGTGGATGACAGACATAGCTTTCCAATTACAACTCATTAAAAGCTAGTCAGTTCACGCAGCCACAGTTTTATGTAACTGTAACCCCTTCGAAGGAACTGGGACCTGAAACGTCGCAGAAGGCGAAAGCGTGCCATTGGAATCGGAACCCTGTTGAATGGATTCCGTGGAGTGGCCATGTGGAGGATCTGTCAAACTTATGGGGAAGTGTATGCCTCGGGATCCTGGAAGTTATCGTCCAGAATTTGTTCAGCATCTGTACAAGCCCGCCAGTTTCCGCAACCGTCCAAGGACCCGGCGGTGTTACCCACAAATTCCAAGGTCTCCCAAACGGCTTCCATCGCCTGATGCTGGTTGGAGCTGTAGGTGTTTGGGCTACACTTCTTCGCGAGACCCGTGGAAAGAAATATATGCGCGCTCAGCTGGTCTTTGAGTCGTAGGGTCTAGTCTATGGTCTATGGGGTATAGTGGCGCTACCACCGTCTTAAATGCCTGAGTACAACTCGCAGAAAGCAAGTCATATGGCACACGTTCTGCTTCAATCTCCAAATGCGTTCCACACCCTGAACTTCCCAACCAAAGTCCATTACAAAGCAATCACCCCTCAATGAATAGAAGCTCCTCAGCACTACAGCGGGTGCGCGAGGGGGTAGGGAAACTAAATGGCTGGGTTGCTGTTAAGGAACTTAATTAAGTTGCCATAATATCGGTACACAGCAAATATTAGGGTTTCCTTGCTACAGCACCTTAACTTAAATTTCTTGAAAGCAGCCCAGAAGAGGGAAGGGATGATTTGCCGGGTGAAGCCCTCAGACCGAGGGGATTTAGCCCCAAAACTTGCTTCCAAAAATCAGGATACCCTTTCTTGGGAGGTCCCTATGATCAGGAGTATGATATCTTGGGTACATGAGGGGAAGGCCTTGTTTGGGGAAGAAACTTTAAATCCGAGATCCTAGCTCCTACATTGCCTGTATGCCAGGGCCGCATGACATCGTACTCTTGTTGTCTCCGCACCCCTCAAATTATCCCTAAACCCCAACCCCTAAGCCCTTAACCCTATACACCCCAATGCCTGAACCTGAAACCCTTCGAACCCTTATTCCCGCAAACTCTAGCCCCAAGCCCTTAAACCCCACAACCCCAAAAAAGTTCCCGAACCTCACTCTCAAACCTTTTCCCAAGACTGCTGCTACATGTTTCCTCTTGCCGCCTCCAGGGACACGAAGCGGGGCCAGGCGTAGTAAGCAACCTCAGGCTTCCAAAAGGGCACCAAATTAGGGTTTTAAGGGTGGAGGGTCTAGGAACAATCTTTATTACAGGTACCTACCCAAAAGGGCCCCAGATTCTTGAATTCCCACTTAAGTCAAGTCGCCAGAAGATAGACGGTACATGATATGGTTTCCCAAAAGGGCAACCTAATGAATCCTTCGAACATAATCCAAAGGGGCCTTTACCCTCGATTGAGGAAAGGCCCAAGCCCAGGCTATTGTAGGGGGTTTAGGTTAAGATTTCTTTTTAAGCGCGTCTCTTGCATCCGCAAGTTGCAAAGGCCTGTTGACGCCAGGCAACAGTTGGGACACCCCGTCAACGGCCAGCTTAGGGCTTTGGGGTTCAGGGTTTTAGGGATTCGTCTTTTTCTTTCCGTCCCATCCGGCTTTTTGTACCTCGCAAGGATCGCGTGGGGATCTTCCGTGCCCAGGGAATAGGGTTTAGGGTTACAGAGAATGAAATGGAGCAGACATGGACAATGAAATGGAAACTGATGGCTACATGACTACATGAGGGGATAATACCGGCGATAACTCAGGCTTCTACAGTATGCAAATTTGAGAAACCCATATGTAAGAGGTCCTTGCGGAGGGGATTGTAGGGATTCACGAGCAGTATACTTTATGAGGTCCAGGGCAAGCCTGACGAATTCCACAGGTCGTCTCCTAGCAAGCCCTTTATAACTATAGCATAACACATCAGACTCTTTTCCATCAGG